CGGTTTCAAAACGTTAGGTAGGTCCGCTATCGGTCCCTCAAGTGAGCGGCGCAGGACGTCATTTGAAGAGCGACGTAGATAGTTTCGGAGGTGGTTAGGACCCCAGGCGTTCTAGCGAGGGATCGTATGCCGCCGGATGAGTAATGCCCCGCGAAGAAACGTGTAATGCCGCAGGACGGGGGTAAACATTAAATACCGAGTATTCGAGTCGGGTGATCGCAGTCAGACGGTGCTGGCCACCCGCAGTCAGTCGAGTAGCTCCGGCCATGCTCTGGTCCTTTCGAATAGATCTGTGACGACAGTTTAACTACCAGCCACGGATAGATAGGGCTCTGGGCACCTATGTGCTGGTAGTCGATGATGGATGCCGAGTGCAGGATGTCCCCGAGAGGACCTGCGTGCGTGGAAGACGAGTGTCGTCTTGATAGATAGCCGACGTAGGCTAACCCGTTTAGATCGCCGGTTTGGCCCGGAAACCCTGAACTATGGCTGGTGCGAGATGCGGTCATTAGTATCACGGACGGACCTTAGTAACCCAACCCGGTTTCAAAATTTAATGAGTCCCCCGTGGAAAGCCGGACTAAGGAGTCTCCTGCGAGCCCTGGTCTCGGGGCTGCGGGCCGGAGACGTTTTCCCTTTCTTTGTGTAGGCATTGGGCATGGTCAACTCAACTCGAGTGCCGAAGCATGAGGTGGTTCGTAATATTCTATTCGTGTGTTACGAGTATAACGAAGCGTTCGGCTGATTTACGGAGCATAGTAAAGGAACAAACCTTACGAAATTAAAACAATGACCCATTTTGAAATCCATTGTATGCACTGATACGTAAACGGAAGTTCCTGTCTTCAAACTGTTTTTTTTTGGGGGGGGGGGATAATTACGCGTATAGTGATTAGTCTGAACCTGGGTACCACTGGGGGATTGTAGGAAAACGGGGGAGGGACAGGTTTGCCACCTGAAATATTTTTACGATGCATGGAAGAATGAATGAGTGGCCGTGTGAATGGAGAATTAATGGTGAGAGCGTGAATGAGTTATATCCAGTGGGAGGAGGCACCCTCAACTCAGGGGATAACTTAAGAACAATAGACGCACAATTGTGAGATTTCGCTGGAACATTGATTGATAGACATTTTTTGAGATTTCGTTAGAATATAACAGAAGGGAGCGTAGGCAGAGAGAAACATCAGGCAACCTTTTAATATCCCACCGTGAATGCCCACCAACCCTGTGACCCATGCCGCTGTACTGTGTGTAGCAGTCTATGTGCCCGCCAGTGAATGACCAGCCTCGCACACACACTGATCAGTAGCCCGACACCCCGCTACAGTACCTTCCCTATGTGACCTGCTGGACATGGCCCACCCCAGGACGTCCTTCAGTGCACCTCTCCTACAATCCGTGACCACAGACAATGACTCCCCTCCCCTCCTCTCGCTCCCTCCCTTCTCCCCCACAAACCACTGCAGCAGCAGCGCGTCCATTGCATGCCACCGTCGTTCTAATGTTTCCTTTGGGCCGGGAATGGCGTTTGTCAGGCAAACAGACGGGCCGACGGGCGCATTCCAAGTGGAGTTGTTGGCCTAGGCAACGAAGACGTCTGAACCTGCCTCGTTGGCTCGCTGTGTCCCCTGCGGACTGTCGACCAGGACAGAAGGCATTCCTCGCGCGGCGGTCGGGACGGCTGTTTATTTATACAAGCTCAACTGAATGCAACTGCCTCCAGCGAGCCAGTGGTTTCTTGACCCCTGTCAGTTATCACGACTGGCGCGGCGGCCGAATTTAATTAGGTAATTTGAATAACATAGATTCAACACAGTTTATTTTTCAAATTCAGGTCATGCGATCTGAGCGTGCCATCCAAATATGTACTCGAACATGCCTGAGATTATGAAAGTTACTTAGCTAGGTACTATTTATATCCTCATGAAAATCGAGAAACTGCGCAGTCTCTACGCTCATCTCGATAAGTGAACATGTCTGTAACATGACGCTCACACAGTATCACATTAACATATAGGTATGTCCCCTCTAACCTCCAGGAATTTTTTCATCTGGCATCAGAAAAAAAAACATGATCATGCAACATTCTTGTAACGGTTAAGCTGGATCCCACATAGCATTTTCTTATTTTTGTTGGCGATAACTGAAAGAAATTATTTCGGTAGACTGCTGTGTCTGTTACGCTGTGCGGCCTTCCCAGCCCTGTCCAGCCGTCGAAGTCGTGGTGTTTTATACGAACCGCGGCAGATTGATATGCGAAATACGGGAGTATTTGGGGTTTCGACTGTCAAAAGAATACGTGCTGCAAACGCTTCCGGTGCATAAGATTCTTTATTTTGAAGTTGTAATTAACTTTTATTGGTATTTTGTGCCACATTCACATCTGTTCTTTGGATGTAGATAAATGTGAAATACCTGCATTTGATAGGTGTTTTCTTTCACCATGACTTGGTTTTGATTGGATTATTTCTGACGGTGTTTATTCCTGTTTTTACAGTTCACTGTTTCGTCGCATCCCTCGGGGTGCAGGAGAAAAAGTCATCACTCCCGGGTGATATCATGGAATTTATCCAAAACGTGAGTACCTTCTCTAGCCTCTATTCTGCTTTGTGCCAGCTCACCTCGGCCGTTTTTCCCTGGTCACCTGCTCAGCATGATGATATAGTAGGGAATGGAAAAATGACTGGTGCATTCTGCAACTGCAACTGCGCTCTTTATGGCAACCTCATCAGGATTCAGGATATCAAATATTTGGGAAGCAATATGAAAAAAATGTAATGTTGTGCATCAAAATTCTCTCACATTTTGTTTTCCTGAAGGTCTCGATAAATTTGATAGCCAACAACATTTACATACCTACGTTATAAACGTAGATATCTATGAAAGTTGTGAAGCATTATTGCAAACTTTGTATCAGTGGGATTATTTGGAGAAAGAGCAATTTCTAAAAGGTTGTTCATGCCTCATGCTGTATGCCCTGCCCACGCGTTTCTAGAGCCTAGACAGATCTATTCGAAATTAAACGATCATGTATCATGATCGCTGCACTATTAATCGTCACTACGACGTTTCTCTTCCGGCAACCACCCAAATGTAGCACCGATTGCCGGTTGCCACAGGTGCCCCGGGGACCCAAGACTGATTGCAGCGTCCCCGGTGTCACCGGTACCGGCTGTCGACCCCATCACCTCGACCCAACACCTGTCAGACAGGCGCGTTTTTCGACCTTCACTCGGCAAACAAAGACCCATTGAGCGGCACTGACGACACAGTTGTGCACTGATGACGTCACGGATGGGCCACTGCCGCCGCGGCCGAACCCGGTAATAATACTGTTTACTGGTGCGGTGCTCTGCAAAACACGCCGCGCCGCTTAATTGCACCACTAAAACTGCCTATCGTCCTGCGTTAGTGGAGCAGTAAATTGTGCGTCAGATGCCCCATCGGACCATTTTTCGAGCCGCGCGCTGCTGGTCGCTGCGTATCCCCGCGGCTGTTTTTATCGTGAGGGCAGAGAGCTCCCGAGGGAGCCGCAAATCCTCATCTTGCGCGCACTGCAAGACTTCCCATTGTCGACGAATTATGACTGTGGGTCTTCACAGTTCTTTTTATCGATGATTTCAGGGCATTTTCTAATCGGATATGTGTTTCAGTTCTCGGAGGATTCGGGCTTCTGGCTGACAATCAACCGACGAGGGAAGATTCTGGATGCCACCGAGGGGATCCAGCATTTACTAGGGTACAATTTGGTGAGTGAGATTGCCCTCAGAGCTCGCAGCTAGACCCTCAAGCGGTCTGGTCTTGGGCGACACATGGTGTGTCGATGTGATTTATTGCGACACAGCTTGCAGCGACATGGAATGCGTTATTGGACAGCGTGAGACGGTCGCTGCGTTGTTTGCGCCGTCGTTGGAGTGGCTGTCAAATTTATGCGTGCCGTCATGTCGCCAGATTCAAAACATTAGCAGGCCAACGAACGGCTGTGCTGGATTGATTTTCCTTGACTACAGTCGCTTTTCTGGAGGCCGTTCTTGCAACAGATACCTACACCTTCAGCCTTGCTTCTGCTGTGGACTGTTAACCGCGGTCTTTCTGCAGTCGGTCCACTGTTGCTGAGCCCTAACTGACTACATTTACAGGTAGACGTAGCCAACGAGGATCTAGCGAAGTTCGTGGACTCGAGCCAGAGCGATAACCTCATGACCGAGAAGCTGCTCGGCTACCCGGACGACTGTGAGTGAAATGTGGCTGGCGGCGGCAGCGACAGCGAGCTAAAATAATTATTTGAATTTCGAACGCAGCCAGATAAACTCGGTTTATTACGCTTTGGACGACTGCCCAAATACTGCGAGCTGAAACTTAGCGTTTTACTGTCTGAGTGTGGACGCAGCTCCTAAAATATTTCAGTGTAGAAAGTAAAATGCGCTCAACGGTTTTCCAGAGAGTGAAGCAGCGATATCCGCTTTGGACGGCTGCCAACTACGTTTGCTTCTGTGGTAGTATGTTGAGGGTTATGTTGCATTGTGGTCGATGATGCCCAACGCTCAACACATTGTGGCTTCTGGCTCATTACGGACTTTCATTGCTATAGTTAGCCTGGCGTCATTGTTTCCAACTGCCTCTACCTATAGAGCGAACAGTGTGGTATGTTCCCATTGTTCACAAGTAGCCCGGCGGCGTTCAATAATGGACAATGACCTGGTGGCATTTCCCCTCCAGTTCAGCGCTATGACCTTTACGTTAGCACTCCCAAGCTGCGCTCGCAGAACAGGATCACACAGTGTACCTGCTGACCCCGCAGCTTAGCTGAAAACCCGCACCTGCCTGGAGCTGTGTGCCTGACCGTCTCCGCTGGCTCGCAGGCTCTGAGATGGTCTCCAAAGATGTGACGCTCTATATGCACCCGAAGCCCAGCGGTCGGAAGGACAGCCTGCGCTCGGGCGCGCCCGTGCACGTGCGGGGCTTCATGGGGCCGATCCAGTCGCTGATCGGCACGGCGCCGGACTCCGCCACCGATCCAGGTGAGTCTGTGGACGCAGCGTGGGTGCAGATACAGCTTCTCCTGTAAGCAGTACCTTGCCAGTTCTTTTACAGGTACTTACAGGACAGACCGTATCGAATTTTAATGCCAAGCTCTGAACAGCTTTAGATGTTGTAGGTGTTGGTATCTCCAAAGCAGGCCTCCTAGTCCATCTGGTTTGTCGTTTTCTGACCTCTTGACTGCCCTGTGTCTGTCGTCGTGTTGCAATTTCGAGGCCATGTCGCCTGTCGATCTGTCAGGGGTATTGGCTCGCGGAGTGTCTGGATGGGGCACCAGAAATTCGACCTACTGACGTGTGTTGGGTCATGGCAGGGGCATGTTGTCATTGGCAGTAACAGCGGGTCGCCGGCTGGGATAGGGTATTCAGCGGCTTCTAGAGCTGGTCATTCCACGAGGCTCATGAACATTTAACAGTATTCTGAATGTTTCATGCGCGTTTGGAATTCAGCGGTGAAGTCTGCTGGCTGCTTTGAAATGTTGTTGTGCAAAATTAGGGAACTTGAATATTCTGATTTGTGTTGTCCTAGGTCTTTGTTTATGATCACGTTCAATAAATATCGGAGTAGGCAAGCTTCCAGACCAAGCTACCATCTTTCTAAACTTACGAGGCAAACTTCACCGTTGGTCCTCATTGGGATGGACGATTTTACTAGCGCAGCATCTCATTTCCGTGGCGAAAAGTGCGGCGTTGGCCGGCCAGTCCTCAGTCTGAGTGGGCCAGTCCATCTTCCCGGCTGGGCGGCAATCGAGCGTAATGAACCCTGCTAACAGACTGTTGAGGGTGGCTGGGCGGTCGGCGCGGCCAAATTCAGTCTGCCGGTCAAGGCCGTCGGCCAATAGCTGAAGAAGCCCGCGGCCGGGACCATTTGTCACTGCCGGCGAATGTGCCAGTCAGTTCCGGACGGGCGCGCTCCAACAGAGCTGTCCCAGACGAGCCGATCAATTTCAGATGATATAGAGATCGTGAAGTCTTGGCATCGGCAATGGTATGGGTAAAAAACTTTGGTATTTATAAGCGGCGAATTCAGTCTTATCGTTTGTTGCCTGGGGAACGTTCACAATAAATTGTTCTGTCAAGTTGTGTGGCTATTTTTGCGGAATCGATCTTCGTTACTAACCCCACGGCCCACAGAAACAAAATCACATTTCTACCAGCTTTAGAAACAATCCGTCTTCCCGTAAGATCCCCGTGAAGTGCATATTGCAGTTTGTGCTTCGATTTGTTCTTAAGATAGTCCAGTTCCGGGTCAAGTCGACTAAGCTATTTGTCTTCGCCATCTGCTGCCCAAGGGATTTTGCAAGTGTCCAGTCGAAACTTCATTTCCGCTCTCTGAGTGAGCTTCAGAGGGACAATTTGCTGGGGATGCTCATCCCACTGACAGTCGACCAAGCTTTTCATCACGCTGTGAATGCTAGAGTCGCGCCGGAGGCGGGTCAGCTCGATTAAAATCCCCTCTATCCACCTCCGGGTGAGAGAGGGTGGAGGACGGGGATGGCCCCTGTCTCTGAGCACCCACACGCGTCAGAGACCTGGCACGCAGAGCGGCGCCGGATCCGGGGCCGGGGGCGGCCGTCCCGTGCAGCGCGTCACCCGGCCCGGATCAATGCCGGCCGGCGGTTCTCTGAAGTGGGCTCGGCTGCCGGCGCGGCGGTACGGTCGGCTCGGCCACCTCGCTGCTCGGTGCCGACAGCGCGCACTGCCGATCCCTGGGGAGCCGATACAGCGCCGCTGCCGAGCTCCCACCCGGGGCGGGGAGGGCGCAGAACGAGCCCGCCCGGCTGAGTGACACAGGCCCGCCTCACCGCCGACAGCCGCCGGATGATGTTTGCTCGCCTCTCGCAGCTACAAAACACGCCCAGAGAGCGGCCGAGGGGCCTCTCCGCGCCTCCCGTGATAAATAGAAGATGAGCTTAAACTTGGTGGCCGAGAATATAGGGGATGAAACGGTGCAGTGGGTCATAAAAGGTAAAAAATATAGGCCCGCTGGTAGATGCTTGCACGGCAGCTTTCCTCCCATAGGCGTAGGAGCCCTCCGAAACTCTGCGCGATATATGAAGGGTAGATAAACGGGCCGAGACGTTCGTAGTTAAGGGACGTATGCTCAAATTTCCCGAGATGCATGCGCCACTACATCACCCCCAACATTCCATTACACATATTAAGCCGGCACGTAATTTCCCAGTGATTTTGCAAATCGGCTGCAGGCCGGCTGCGCTCTGAGGCAGTCAACACATAAATCGGCGCCGGCGCGGTCTGTCCCATTTCGGTGACACATCACCTCTGTTAGCGCTCCGTGCAGCCGCGGGCCGGGCCGGTTCCATTCGGCTCGTTGGTCGGCCCGGTCCCGTCCCGGCCCGTTTACAATGTAGTGGCGGAGGTCAGGGCGCCGGTGCCGCGGCGCGCCGCCCGCCGTGCCGCCCGTTCTGAGCCGGCCGGCGGGCGGCGAGGTGCCAGCCCGGGCGGAGCCAGCCATTCGCTGGTGCTGCAGGCCCGCCGGTAGGGGCAGCCTGTCGGCCCTCGGCCAGCGCCGACCGGCGGCTTTATTTGGCCACCGGCCAGACGGCGGCCGACTACTAATTGAACGGACACGGCGCTTGGCCGGTCAATATCCCGTCTCGAATCGAGCCGCCGCCGCCGCCGGGCTCAAAGTTGGACCGGCTTGAGAGGGTGGCTGATATCGCGTTGGTGGGGCCGTCTCAGGTCGAACGACCTACCTTTGTTTGACTGTGGACCGTCGCTGCGGTGAATGTCCCGATATCATTAGGCCGTGATGTCCTGTGTCGTGACTATTTGTGAGCCCGTCGGCTCAGTTTGCTCTGCTTCTGCGGCTCTGGGGTGCGTGCCTGCGTGGGCTGGGGAGGTGGAGTCGGCTAGGGGGGGGCTGCGTCACCCAGCGTAGGGCCACGTCAGATCCCGCGTCACGCGCCGGCCGCAGCGGCTCGCAGCAAAAACAGGATACGCGTGTGCGTGCAGACCCGTCACGCAAACAATCAATATGGCTGCCGACGCGGCTGCCAAGGAGGGCAGGGCTGCCCGACCTGTTATACTGCAGTTCAGTGACATCCCAGGGGTAATAGACCTCCAGGGAACTGATGCAAAACAGGTTTGCTATTTTTAGTGATAATATGCAGAAACTCACAAATTTTGATGCAGCTTTACATGCCAGGCTAGTCAAGGAATGTTGGGTATGGGCCACCATGTTTGACTGGATTGTAAATTGCAGATCGTGCGGCTCAAGGTCATATTGATTTAACACACAGTCTCTTGGACAACGCTTAAGTGAAAATTTGGTTCAACATGGTTCCATTCTGACGGTGACTCCAACCTTGTCTTCTGTTTATTTTCCATTAGGGTCTTAGGGCAAGGTCAGTTTGCGCTCAAGAAAACTGGACGAATACGGAGTAGGCCATTTTCGGTAATGGATATTTCAATCCAGCCATGGATACCGCCTGCAGATCGAGTATCTCCCAGAAGCCAGCAGTAATGACATTACCGCGTGCAAAATACAAACGGCACATTTATCACGCTATTTTTACCCTTGCGAAACCAGCTTTGGCCATCACTCGACCATTTTTCTGCGCTGTCATGAACAAATCGTGCGCCAGTTGGGTATCGGCGGCACGGGCGATGCGCTGTCCATGCGCCGGCGATCAGCGGCAGATGACGGTTGCAGGGGAGCCAGCGAGCCCGCCGCCCGGCGATCTGTCAGTCGGTACTGCCGAGCGGCAGCTCTGTCAGTCGTCTGTCACTGTCAGTCGGTCGGCGCGGCGTGGTTCTGTCACGGCCAAACGTCACGTCACGGTCATCGTCGCGTCACGGGCACCGTTACACTGCTACCGTTCGTTGGTGATCGATGCGCGGGTGGCTGTGGGAACTGACATTTGGTATTTTACATCGATCGCGGATGGTTGAGTTTTATTTCATTTTTGCGATGACGTCGCGCTGAGATCCATTAGTGGATGTTTTGTCCTCGGAACCCAACTTTTATCGGGCTGTTGCTTTGTCTTGCATTTGATCCTGGTCCCTGGATAGCGCTATTTAATTTGATTTTGCCATCGCAGGATAAGTGTCGAAGTTTCATTCCGGTTTTCGGCCAAGAAAGCAAAACTTGATATAACTGACAGTGGCGAATAAGTATTTGAATTGCAAGAGTTGCGTCTGGCAGCTATTGAAATCAACCGAACGGCTGTCCCAAATTTACACATGGAACCGTTATCGTCCGTCTCACCTCGCTGCGTTACAGTCCGTAGGCTAGCCCGCATGACACGGATGCGCTGCGGTACAGCCTAACTGTCAGGCGAGCCGCGTGCGTTAGCCATCTGGGCCAGCACGGCATGGCTGCGTTCTCTCATGGCTCATGGGTGTCCCGTGTCATTTGTGACAATGCGTTTTGTTTCAAAACTGTTTTCTCTGAAGGATCCATGACTCAAAGAAAGAAGAAAAGAAAACGTCCTTGATTTTTCTTCATCTGTGCGAATTTTGTTGTCGCGATGCCGGCCGCGTCCCGCCGTGAGCTATGCGATCGTTCCCGGGGGCTCGGCGGCGCCGCAACGACCGTTTGATCGTGTGAGGAGGCACACAAACAAAGCCATCCATTCGTGCGCAGACGGTCGAGCAATCGAACGGGGCTGGTGTGGGCGTCGCAGCGCACCGTGAGCTTCTCGCAACAACTGGCGTCATTTGGTGCCTGATGAACAAGTGTGGGGGAGGGCCCAACAAGTGTGCAGAATGCAGATGTGATGTGTATTGTGTAGGTGTTAATGACAGATGGGATGGGACTATCTGAACCTGATAGTCTTTTTGTTGAGCTGTTATAGGTCAGGTGGGGTTTGTCTGTGTATTTCATTAAATAGCCTAAAAATGGCCTTGCTCTGTTTTAATTCGTTTGTTTTCTCTAAGATAAGTTTGTTTAAGGAGCTACATTTCGACAGCCAAGTGCACCCGCAATATCTTTATTTCGTTTTTGTACCGGATGAAGC